TTTCGCATTTGCAACATATAAACCAAAATCAGAAAGGAAAGTTAAAAAGTTTGTTCATTCGTTATATAATAATGTTCAAAAATATGATAACTCAGTATGTGGTAAATATATTGACCCTTCAGAAGTTTTCAAGAGAGCAAATGAAGAAGTTGATATCACTTTTGATATGATTATCCGGTAAATGATTTGTTAGCATTTCAGGCGTTCGATGATTATCCTAAATCATTTGGTGAAATCATTCTTAAATATTATGTTTTCAGGGATACTTTAGTATTTTGTCAGGTTGACCCGTTAAGAGTTGCTGATTTACAAAATTACGTTTGAAAAGATATGATGAAATTATGAAAAGATTATGAATCATGTTTTATCGCAAATTCCATCGGACTTCCTGCAAATCGGACTTCCTGCCAAATTAATTACAAGCTTAGCCGCTACATCTGCTGACGCAACAGTTGATAGTGTAACTATTTCATGCACAAAGATGGAAGTTTTAGAGGATAAATGCATTACACCAGGATACGGTTTAATTGAAGAATCAGTTAAAGCAATACCACGTTTATTTAGTAAGGAAGATCCATTCATGATTCCAGCTCAACATATTGACGTTCGTTCACTAAATGGAGGTTGCATCACTCCTGAAGGTATTAGCTCAGATTTCTCATACGCTCTTCATAATGTTACAGATGTTGTGTTAACATTTCCGAAGAATGCAATGCAAAGAACAGTTTTAGAAAATCCAATGCTTCGAGGTCTTCAGGTCACTATAGATTCCAGAAACTTCCCCGATCAAGCGATGACCACAGTGGGTGACATATTCTTTACACGTATGCTTCAAGCTTCTGATTTAGATGGAGTGAATGAATGCACGGAAGAATACGAGGACTCATTAACTAGACCACTGAACGATGATAATGGCACGCCATTAGCTAGAACATGGAAAGACCAAACTTCATTCTTATGCACTATTCCAGTTCAACGTGATGGAGCGGGTATATTCTTTGATGGATTAGAAACTTTCAACTCACAAGTTACAGTACAAGTGAAAGCTTATCCAATCATTCAGGTGAAAATGACACTTACTGTTCAAAAGTGACAAATCCTCCTCAGGTTTGGTTTACTAGGACTACGTATTGGACATGGACACCGGATGAAGGTTTGAAATATCATCCAACAGGTACACCACCACAGTATAGAAGTTCATATGATGAAATATTGATGAATAGAAATGTTTAAAATTATAAATTTATTTTTGATTAAATGGATTTCAATTCATCCACCCCTTATGAAGAATTAGCGGGAGTATATAATACATACGTAGAGATATGATTAATGAAGCATTGAGTGATAATAGAAATGCTCTATCTAAGGAAAAATTAATGAAAATTCCATATTCTGAATGTTACTTAAATTCAATCACTGCAGCAATTGGTAAACAAAATAAAGGTAAAACATTAACGATATTAAAACAAATTATCATTATTGCTAACACTTCCCCCCATTCACATGTGTTAATTTAAAATATCAACCTTCAGGATTCACTTCAGATGATACATTTGAATTTCTTTAAAGCATTTAATCAAAATTCCAATTATTTATTTATCACAAGAAGAAGCAGAAGATTATTTAAAAAACTTTTTAATGTATAAAGAATTATATAATACAATCAAGAAGCAAGGATTAGAGGATAAAATTATTGATAAACAACGGGATGAATTATTTGAAACACTTTCTATTTCAAATTTTGATAGAGAATTTTTGCATTCACTCATTTTTCTAGATGATGCCGTGAAATCAAAACTAATAACTAATGAGAAATCATATTTTAATCAGTTATTAACTCAATGTCGACACATTCAGTGTTCATTCTTCATGGCTGTTCAATACTTCAAAGCATTAAGCACAAACATTAAATCAAATCTATCAACACTTTTCATTTTCAGTGGGTTTAGTCGTCAACAGTTGAACGTTATGCTTTATCAAGTGAATTTACCAATGAGCATTAATGAACTTTACACACAATATCAACAATTAGGTGAACATGGAAAAATAATAGTTGATTTAAATAAAGGTTCCATTAAATTTGATTAACTTTTTATAATTAATTTTTATTTTTTTTTATAATTAAACATGACTGAAATAGCAAATCTTCTACAGGTTCCATTAAAACAAGGGACAAACAAAAAGGGTGCATATTATAATAGAACTATGAAAGTTCCAGATGGAATGAAAGAATTAGTTCATATTGTTGCTGGTCTTCAAAAGATGTTAAACAAATGAGAAACGTTTTAACATTACCAGAAGCTCAAGCATATGCCAAACGTCATGGACCAAATTGGGAAGCACATGAAGCAGACATTACAGGACCAAATGGAAAGCCTGATGGTATAAATGAAGTTTTCGTTACTGATGGTCAAGGAAATATTAAAGTCATAAATGGGTATAAATTAACAATGACGGATTATCCTAAACGTAAAGCATATAATGAACGTTATCCTATGCAATTTGATGAACATGGAAAAGCTGTTAAACAATACATTGGAGAAGGTGAAAATGGTCCAATGTATTCATACCATCTTATTCCATATTCTTATTTCAATGAAGAATTAAATGCTGTTGAAGAGGGACCGGATGGATTACCACGATATGTTCATCAGTTTGATGGTCAATATGCAAATATTAGACCTGAAATTCCAGCTAAGAAATTCTTTAAAGTTGCTTTATTCGATCCAGTGTTCAATGAACAGAAAGAAGCAATGAAAGCAGAATTTAAACCAATTCAAGTGGCAAGAATTTCTTCATCTTCACTTTCAGAAGCGTTCAAGGAATTGATAAAGAAACCACTTTATTCTCAACAAGGTTATAACTTTGATTTAATTAAAGAAAGTGATAGACGTAAATTAGAAAAATCAGATGGTTTTAAGAATGCATGTAATGAAATGATTAAAGATATTGTAAAAGATAAAATAAGACTGGAAGAAACTCAAAGCAATATCAATAACATAATTGGTGCAGTTACAAAGAAAGTATAAGCAAACAAGGATGAACCTTGGGATATTACCGTAACAACTAAATAAAACTTTAAATATATTTTTCTTTTTTTTATTCGATTATAAATGAGAAGACGTTTCACTAGTCAAAAGAACACTAACGCAAAAGCAGAGATTACGGTTGGTTATAACGTAAATGATGATAAATCACGAATTATTCAAAATGTTAAAGTTAATGTTAGTCCTGAATTAACAAGGTCAGCAACTCAACCAAATTTATTAACTCATGACTTACCGAAGAATGAAGAGAATGAAGAAAACCATGAGAATGGAGACCCAATCATTTTATCTGAACCCGGTAAAGAACCTGTTGAAATTCCCACTTATCCAACATACCCCCCACCTCTTGATAACCCATATAAAATAGACATTAATTCTGAATTAATGAAAATTTACCGTGATATAATAATTAATAATTATGATTCAATAATAAATTTAATTGATCAATCTGGTTTAATTATTTTACCTTATGAATCATTAATTCACATTATCGCCATTCTTTGTGATGTTCAAGATTCAGACGTTAAGATTCAATTTTTCATAGATGATGAGGTTTCATGCTGCGGAACAGTTGCAAAAATAAATCCTATAAAGGATATTAGCACAATTAAGATATCAAAGAACGGAACAACAACTGAACTTCATTTAACATATAATGATATTTATAATAAAATAGTTGATGAATATAAAATATCACTTGAAAAATTCTTTGTTAAGGCCATTTAATATTCAAGCATTAACATTATTGAATAATAATCCTTTGAATCATAATTGATAATAATTGACCTTTCACCAGTTTCTATCGTTTGTTTTATTTCTTTTTGTTCCCCACTATCTGGATCGGTCATTGTAATTGTTTTTGTTATAGTATCAGCTTTATCTTTAACTTCAATCTTTTTTCCATCGGGATATTTAAACCAAAATTCCAAAAATTCGATATTGTCAATCTGTTCATATTTTAATCTATCAATTACATTTTTAATACCATCTGAAAATCTTATGAAATGGTCATTATATGGGTTTGATTGAACTAAATTTGAATGAAGTGAAATATAACCCGATGATGAATATGACATTGACTCATATTTTCTGAAAACACTAAAATTTATAACATGAATGAATTTCTTATTCGTTGAATTTATGAATTCTTGAGGTAATCTTATCCTAGTTTTATTTATCACTGGAAAATAACGCTTTACCATATTTTTAATCGTAATAAAAATGTCAATTATCAATATTATTTCGAATAATAACTGTGAATTAAATTTAACAGTTAGCGGAATTTATAATGTTACTCTCGTTTCTGTGAGTGGTAAATTTAATCCCATTCTTTTAGACCCTTCAGATTATATATCATTTATTAAAGATGACCATGAAAAAACGTATGATATGTATATAAATAATGTGATAGCGAAATGGGATATTAACATGATTTTAAGTTATTTAAATGAATCATTTATCGTATGGTATGAAGAAAATTTTAAATCAAAACCTGATAAACTTTTTGAACTTGATGAAATAAATAACCTTATTAAATTCCCGCTGAAAATTAAATTTTGTACTCCTCATCTTCGTTCATTGTTGGGGATATTAAATTTTGAAAAAGATGTTGGGGATGTTTTGTATTCTGACACTGGTTCCAATTTCATTTTAATCAAATGTGATAAAGTTAATACCCCAATGAGATTTTCACATCAAACATTAGACCCTAACTCTTACCCATCAATACAAAACATTTTATCCATCAACTTAAACATATTTTCTTTATCATATCCGTTTCAATTATCTGGGAATTCATTTATTCTTCATTCAAAATTTATCAATATTAAATTTAGAGTAACTGACCTATTTGATTGTGATTTAGAATTCATGAATGAAATATTATGGCAATTTCAAATAGAGAAAATAGGTGATGAGATAACAGATTAAATATTTATTTTTAAATCATAATAAATGATTAAACAACAGCAACCACAGCAACTTAAGACACAAAGCACCCAGGTCCCTCAGACCATTACATACGCCATATATGCATATAATTCAAAGACGGCAGAACAAACGCAAAGGTTGAAATATGGAGATTTGGAGATAGTATTGAAAAATGACCATTTCGAATTCGTTTGCAAGGGTGGTGCAGTGATATCAAATATAAAAGAAATTTTATTTATGAATTCAAAAATTAAAGGTATAACGGATGATATAACATCAATTCCACCAGAAGAACAAAGATATTACGCATTAAATGCATTTCCTAAAGTTTTGAAGATTGGAAGATTTAATTTAAATGAGGAATTCATAAAAGGTTTCCTAAATGACATAATGAAGAAAGCAGATAAGGAATATGTGGATAGTGAGTTAAATAAGAAGGCAGATAAGGAATGTGTTGCTGCTGCGTTAGAGAAGAAGGCAGATAAGGAATATGTGGATGAAAAAGATAATGAAATTAAAGAAAGTGTTGAATGGTATCATGAATGGACATCAAAGATTTTAAAAACTAAAGCCGATACAGGATGGGTTTCAGGATGTTTAGACCTTAAAGCAGATAAGGAATATGTTGACGCTGAATTAAAGACTAAGTTAGAGAAGAAGGCAGATAAGGAATATGTGGATGAAAAAGATAATGAAATTAAAGAAAGTGTTGAATGGTATCATGAATGGACATCAAAGATTTTAAAAACTAAAGCCGATACAGGATGGGTTTCAGGATGTTTAGACCTTAAAGCAGATAAGGAATATGTTGACGAAATATACCAAAGTTTGATAGGAACAAAAAATATTGAAACTATTGTTGGTGACTTTTCTGTCAATGAAGAAAATAAATATTTTAGATGGCAGTTTGTACACTCCTTAAAAAATGGTATACGGTGGAAACTCATTCCGAAAAATAACAATGAAATGTATGTAAGTTATAAAAAGAATGATGACACACAAGTTAAAGTTCCATTAGACAACAACTGTTACTTAAACTTATATGGAGACGAACAAAAGAAATATTTAAGAGTTTATGAAATGGCAGATATGACATTGCCTGACCCAGCTCCAGCACCATATTATTATGACTATGGAGATGATGTCAGAACACCACATATAGATGAACAAAAGTTAACATTATATTTAGATTATTATAGATATAAAAGATATAATGCAATAGAAAAACGAGAATAGTATATTATTATACAGATGACAGAAATAAATATTATAGTCAAGATTTACCTACCCTGAAAACATAAGATTATATTATAAAAAATATTCTGACACAAACCAGAAGAAACCTGAAATAGTTACACTATATCTTAAGTTCAAAAGAGACAATCCTATAATATCTCATATGTTTGATTTAATGAACCCAGTGGGTTCTATTTATACATCTATGGATGCAAGAGGTCCTCAAGTAATGTTTGGTGTTGGTGTATGGGAACAAATAGTTGACAGGTTTTTGTATTGTGCGAACTCTTCAAAGGAAACCGGTGGTTCAAAGAAAATTACTGAAGCAAACCTTCCACTGCACACTCATACAGGAACTACAAACACATCAGGTAATCATACACATTCATTAAGAGACCATCCATTATACAACTCAGAATATTATGCTGGCAATGACGTTTTATCTCCAGATTATAACCATTCGGCAAAAAAGACTTTTCGACCAACTGAACCAGGAGGAAATCATTCACATACTTTCACAACAAATCCAACAGGCTTGGGTAAAGATTATATACCTCCATTTATGACTGTATTCGCATGGTACCGCATTTATTGAATGAACTAAATATATTTTATGTCTGTAATTAATTAGGTAATGAAGTAATGGATGAACTGCAGAAATAAATGTTTACGTTAATGTTTACAGGTTATTCAATAATGAATTATTTTTGAAGAACTGAAGGTGCTACCATGTTACCATGTGCTACCAGGTAATTTAACTTCTTTAAAAAAATGAGACAACATGACATTTTGACAACAACACAGGAGGAAGGCAGTTATGAATTATTTTTGAAGAACTGAAGGTGCTACCATGTTACCATGTGCTACCAGGTCATTTTGACAACATCACAGGAGGAAGGCAGTTATGAATTATTTTTGAAGAACTGAAGGTGCTACCATGTTACCATGTGCTACCAGGTAATTTAACTTCTTTAAAAAAATGAGACAACATGACATTTTGACAACACAGCAGGGGAAGGCAGTTATGAATTATTTTTGAAGAACTGAAGGTGCTACCATGTTACCATGTGCTACCAGGTAATTTAACTTCTTTGAAAAAATGAGACAACATGACATTTTGACAACAACACAGGAGGAAGGCAAAAATAAATTCCAATCATACTTTATAAAGCATCATTTACAGGTATTTCATCGTCAGTAAATGAATCATCATTATCGTTTGGTTCAACCTGTTTATATAATCCTTTCATTTCTTCTTTCAAAACATAACACCATGTTTGTTTACCGTCTATTCTTCTATGTTTCCTATCACATTTATCCTTAATACTCATTTGGAAATTCTTGTCTTTCATGTCTGATGGTTTGCAGAATAGAGCATTTTCACACATCATACCTACACACAATTCATCATAATGTGTATTTATCCATACATCTAAAGGATTTGATGATAATTCTATTAAATCTTGTTTGGCTTCAGTCATCGGTATGATTCGTACATTGAATGATGAAAGGTCATATTGCATAAAATATGTTAAAAGGTTATCATAAAATTCCTTAGTGCATGAATCCATTAAATTCTTGAAGTAATCAAATTGACCCTTGAATTTACCATTAACCCTTAAAACTACGTATCTTCTGTCTCCAACTTCAATTTTGACAGGGTAGACGTTGTTAGTTACGAAAATGAAGTTTGCAACGTTCTGTGCTGTTCTTCTGGGTTGATTCTTTTCATTAATTCTAATCTCATTATCCGTAATAATTGATTTCAAAGCTTGAAGTTTGCGAGTCTGTCTTCACCAACATTCTTGAGTTCATTAAGTACAAGAAACATTTTATTTTCAACTACTGAGTTGAAATTACCCGTTAGCTCACTTATTTCAGTAATGTTTTACAGGAATAACCAGCGAGAAGTTCAGAAATAATGTCTGTAAATCTTTTTTACCTGTTCCCTGAAGTCCTTTCAAAATAATTGCTGTTTCATTCTTGATTCCAGGATGTTGAATCATTGATGCAATCCAGCCGAGAAGGTATTTATACACTTCGTCGTTATTATCACAAATGGCTTCTTTAATGAAATTCATAAACATCTCAATTTTTGAGTAATCAAGCTTTTCAAGAATGTTGTATTTATAACCCTGAAACGTTGAGAAAACATCTGGAGAATCAGATTTAAAGCAAACACCCTTAACGGTTAATGAAGACAATTGATTTAGTAGTACATCCCATGTTGTTATGGTTATACCTTCTTCTTTAAATAATTTAATCATTTTAAGTGACTCTTTCATGTTTGATTGAAGAACGAATGATATTTGATTCATTTTGTCGTGGATATTATAGTCCTTTTGAATGAAATATTTATTTCCACAATCTACAAAACGGATTACACGTGATAAATCCTCAATTACTTCAGAACTGTTTTTATACTGATGATTTTCAGCCTTGCGTCTAATATCTGTTATCAAAAACGAGTCATCAAGTTTTATATCAAATGTTATTTTGGCTTACGTAATAAAGGTAAAACATATTCATCATAATATTCCTTTGGTATAGTTTTAGAATCTTCACTAAAACAAATGGAGAAGTCATTAAATGTGCATATCTACTACGTGCTTTTTCAAAATTACTTTTAGCATTTTCAGTTAAATTGCAGAAGTTATAAACGTTATCGTATGCTTCATTAATTAAATGATTAGGTAACGAATTAATTGCTTGAAACAGTGTGAATAATGTTATTTCTTTTTCTAAATTCATGTTTCCACCATCATTATGTACTTCAAAATCACAGATGCCATCAACTATGCTCTGAGCTAGTTTATCGTCAATGTTTACATCTTTGTTTTCATTCATGATAGTCTTTATTTCTTCATTCTTCTGTTCAACTCTTACCTTAATATTCAAATCATTTAATATATCATTCACTGTTCTGGTTAATGTTGAATCATAACTTCCACGAATGAATGAGTATGTATTGATTGGTTCTGTTGCATTCTTGCGAACTCTTGAATCAGCCATAACTACTAAAGAACGCTTTGAATCATCCATAGAAGTCATTATGTCAATATCATAATCATTGCAGGAATAACATTTAATCATTCTGTTCGAGGTTGAATAGAAGAAATTAGTGTTGCAATAAATGTGAAGACCTCCTGATGCGGTTTTCACGATAACATCTTTATCCGAAAGTTTTGATAAAATGTCTTTTCTAACTGTTTCTTTAAGTTCATCATTGTACGATTTATTGATATCAACATCTATAATCGTTAAATTTGATATTTTATTTACTAATAAAGCCATACCAGTTTTCCTTCCTCTTCCTCCATCATGTTTGAGGTAGTTATGTAAATCAGTCTTGTTTTCACCAATTCTTTCGTTGAGGGTTTTAGTTTCTGCCACAACTAATTCCTCAACTAATGAATCAATAACTTTTTCATCAGAAATGATATAGTTGTTGTTGTTGTTTGTTGCCGTCATTTCTATAAAAATAAAAAAATAAAAATAATTTTAAAACTAACTTTATTTTTGGACTGCATCAAATTTTCTGTGATGTTGTCAAAATGTCATGTTGTCACACTTTTTCAAAGAAGTTAAATTACCTGGTAGCACATGGTAACATGGTAGCACCTTCAGTTCTTCAAAAATAATTCATAACTGCCTTCCTCCTGTGATGTTGTCAAAATGACCTGGTAGCACATGGTAACATGGTAGCACCTTCAGTTCTTCAAAAATAATTCATAACTGCCTTCCTCCTGTGTTGTTGTCAAAATGACCTGGTAGCACATGGTAACATGGTAGCACCTTCAGTTCTTCAAAAATAATTAATTATTGAATAACCTAAAAACATTAACGTAAACATATATTTTGGTCGTTTATGATAAAAATAAATGGTTCATTTACTCACAATATTTTTGTACAAAACGACCCCAAACTTTTAACTTCTTTTCTGCAGCTTCTAATGCTATCTTAGCGAGTTCATATTCTCTAAATTCTCTCTTTAAATCTTCTTGTTCCCATTGGTCTAGTTCGTATGAAGAATCTCTATAACCATAACATATCTCACCTTCATGTTCTAATTGTTTTTCATGCATTTTTCTAACTTCTTGTTCGAACAAATGTTTAGCATTTTCAACTGTATCTTCGAGTTCTTCTTCATCTAATTTCTCATGAACTTTCTTGTCTATGGAGTCCATAATATCTTTGACATAAAATGCATACTTTACAGAGCACCATTCAGCAACAAAATGAACGAGGTCAGGATGTATGTAAATACCTTTGAATTCATTTATAACACCCTTTGTAAGCTCATAAAATGCTTGTTTTGAGGTCGAGCCACTTTTGGCTCCACCGTATTCTTTCAACCAAAAACTCAAGAATTTCCTGCATTTAGCACTATTGAGAAATCTGTTTAAATGGTTTAACTTTCCCGCTTCTCTTGCCATCTTTGTTGCATTAATGTAACCATCCTTGTCTCTACGTAAGACTTCAATACCATTATAAGTGCCTTTTGTGAATGTTTCGCCATTAGATTTGTTCGTGAATGTTTTTGCTTCGACTGACATTTCTGTTCTTACATACAAATAAAAAAAAATAAAAATAATTCATAACTACCTTCCTCCTGTGTTGTTGTCAAAATGTCATGTTGTCACACTTTTTCAAAGAAGTTAAATTACCTGGTAGCACATGGTAACATGGTAGCACCTTCAGTTCTTCAAAAATAATTCATAACTGCCTTCCCCTGCTGTGTTGTCAAAATGTCATGTTGTCACACTTTTTCAAAGAAGTTAAATTACCTGGTAGCACATGGTAACATGGTAGCACCTTCAGTTCTTCAAAAATAATTCATAACTGCCTTCCTCCTGTGATGTTGTCAAAATGACCTGGTAGCACATGGTAACATGGTAGCACCTTCAGTTCTTCAAAAATAATTCATAACTGCCTTCCTCCTGTGTTGTCTAAATGTCATGTTGTCACAAACTTTTAGAACGGCATAATTTAAATTTTTATTTTTATCATAAATGGATACCCCACAAGCTCAAAATTTACCACGAATCATAACAAGGGAGGAAATGATAAAAATGATGCAGAACATGTTAAAATAACAAACCACTAAAATTGAGAAAATGTGGTTATGCAGTAATGATGGAAAGAGAGATTTGTCAAAGAGAATAAAAATTAAATTTGGATTGAGTTTAAAAATCATCTTTATTAAATTCATCTCTTCCAATCAATTTATTTATTCTATTAAATTCTTTTATTTTTGCTTCACTCAGTTTAAGGATTGAACGGTAAGTTTCTAATTTTCGATTATTTCTTTATCGTTTTCAACCCCACCGCATTGTGGCTTCTTTTTGTAATAGCATATTTTGATTAATTCTGTTAGTTTCTTTTTATATTCATCGTCTGGACTCTTGGCTGCTTCGTTGTCACTCATTTCTTACGAAATAAAAAAAATTAAATATTATTTAAATATAATGGAGTAATAAAATAAATCGGAATTTCTATTAATTTATTTCAACTTCAACTAATGCATTACCGTTAATATATCTAACAAATTCAGCTATTGTGTCAAATCTTCGTCTTCTTTTTTGTCATTGATTTATCAGTTTTTCCATAATCGAGATGAATCAAAACTTTATCCCCTTGTTTAAAATTCATGAGCCCCGAATTAATTTGTTCACGTTTAACATCATTCAACCTTTCTCATTTGCTTTCTATATATTCCCATTCTTTTGAAATATCATTTTCATTTCCACGGTTTCATGTTTATTGTTCTATGCCATGTATTATTATAATAATATACTAACTTGTATGATGGAGTCATGATTTCCATCCCAGTATATCTGACCGTTAACCCCTAACGCATCTCTAAGAGTTCTCATTACTGCATCAACTATTTTATTATGAAAACGTATATGGGAGAGGATGAGAAGTAAAAATTAATTTTTGGAAAATAATGAGTCATAGCTGCCTGAAATCCTTTATCACCATCACCCCTTATATTATCTACTCTTCTTCATGATCTAGTAAGTATTGAATAGCTCTTCTTGTTTCTCTGTTCTGTTTTCCCTTTCACGGAATGCAATATAAATATCTAGTGTTAATGTTAATGGCAAATAAATAAGTAACGTTTCCTTTTGAATATTCTAAATGATCGATTTCGTATGAATATGGATATGGTGCAAATGAAGGGCGACTAAATTTTTCCTTTAACGGTTGAATTTTTGGGTCAATTGGTTTATTTAATATTTTGAAATCCTTTTTAAAATCTTTTTGCTTCTTTAATGTTTGAAATGGATATAATAAAGTGAATGATGAAGGATTAACTGAAGGAGGAGGCGGTACTGTCGTTGGAGGTTTTGGTGTTGCAGTGGTTTAATTTTATCTGCTTTGATTTTGGATTTCATTCCCCTTCATTAATTCTGGATGTATTCTATTCATTTGTTTTAAATATGCTGTATATAAAGGTTTGATATACTTTCCCGCTTCGAGTTTATGTTGAAGGATGAATTCCAAAAGTTGATCTTCATTTAAAAGTCGGGCTGAATATGGTTTAACTAATGAATCATAAATTAAAGCTTGTGCATCATTTATGGTCTGAAGACCTGGGCGTTTTGCACCATTTGTTTTTGTTCCTTTGGTTTTTGCGGCTCAGGATTATATAATTTATATAATTCATCAATATCTTCTTCTGTTAATACTTTATTTTTGAAATCTTTCAACTGTTTAAGTTGTGATTTAGTTTTTCCCTTTGAATATTCATTATTTTTAATTTTGTCTTTAATTTTAGAAATTATTTTATCATGATATTTCAAAACTTCATTTTTATAATATGGATAATAATAATCCATATCATCACCCGTTATATTGTTATCATATTTTTGGAGATATGCTTTTAAATCATAATAATTAAGAAAATTTTGATTAAGTACTAAATCATCAATTAAATTTTTTAAATGTACGTTATCCATTTATATAAAAATAAAATAAGTGTTTTAAGGGTGCCCACCTCTTTGTCTCTTCTGTGGCATTTCATTAAAAATAAAAAATAAATTCTTTTAAATAAATGGCATACAACATCCATTTTCACAACATACAGCCTTAGTGTGTGCTCCTGTTAATGCAGTCTTACCGATTGTTAAGCGAGTCATTGACCCATTTTTAAGTTGTAAATTAATATTCTGACCATCAAATATCACTTTATCATTTATTATATCCAAATATTTTTTAGGTGTTAATTGCTTATTTTGTCTTAAACTAACACCTTTCATTTTTTGTGCAATCTTTTTAAAATCACTTCCATCAATTGAACCGTTGAATGATGTATAACACTTAGGACATAAAGCAACCATGTTATCACCTTGTTTCTCAATTGCTAAACCCAATAATTTTTTCTCATGTGCTTTTTCTTCAGCTTTATTCTTTAATTTAGGTTTAAATTTCTCATCAAAACAGAAGAAATCAAAAGGTGCGAATTTGAAAATGTTTTTATCATAAAATTGTTTATCGGTAACAATTGCTTGAACTGCTTGAGTGTTAGGAAGATTTGGGTCGCCAGCGATTGCCCAATAAGATGAATCAGTATCACCTTCAATGAAATGAAACCGATTAACATCCATGCATTTATACATAAAATCATAAATGAAAACCAAATACCAGTATTTAGCATTATCTAAAGTAAAGAATGCCTCTTGTAAACATGTTTCACATCTATAAAATCTATCTTTAAGCATCACTTGATATGTATCTCACCTATTTCTCTTATGTTTTTAAACTTATTTGACATACATGCAACGCGTGCCTTCTGTGCATTCGTTATTTTAGTCTTTGCGTAATTTTGTGTATTCATTGCATCGTAACCATATGATCCATTAAGTGAAATCTTGCAAAATAAACTTTTTCCTTTATTTCCTTCTAATTCAGCCTTTTGTCTTTCGTTCATAAATTCATTCGCAAATTCATTAAAACAAGTGTTTTTCGTAAATGTTAAAATTGATTGAATATCATCAATGATAAAATGAAATCTGTCTATTAGATACCAAAGATAATAAGAAGAAAATGGTTGATATTGGTTGTGTGTTGATGCTAACTGAGTTAATTTTCTCTGTTTCTGGTCAACTGGTAGATTGTTTGATTTCATGTAATTATACATAAAACTGCCAATTGTTTTTTCATCTGTGATAATATCTAAGTTTCTTATTATCGGTAAAAAGTTTATGTAATCATTAATGTATTTTTCATCAATGTGACCCTTTACTTCAGCCACGAATAAAGTATTTTTCTTCTTAATAATTCCCAGTGCTTTTGCTTTCTTTGTTGCTGTATCACAAATGATAACACCATTCAATCTTCCCGGCATATACATTTTATGGTCAGTATATTGAATGAAATCATGAGGATTAGATGAAAATGATGAAGGATATAATGAATTAAAGTCAACACCAACGAAATGAGTCATAATGTTGGGTGTCCTCATT